GGCATTCGTGGCCCCAAAGGGAAATCGACTGAAGGCCCCAGCGGCTGCGTCCGCATGCGCCAGCCGCACCCATGTCGGCACGCCCCCTTCACGTTTCGAGGCCCCACAGGGAACTCCACCGAAGGCTCCAGCGGTTGCGTTCGCATGCGCCCGCCGCGCCCATGTCGGCACAACCCTCGCACGTTTCGTGGCCCCACAGGGGGCTCCACCGAAGGCCCCAGTGGCTGAGTTCGCATGCGCCCGCCGCACCCTTTTCGGCACACCCATCACGCGTTTCGTGGCACCGTAGGGAGGTCTACCGAAGGCCCCAGTGGCTGCGTTCGCAGGCGCCCGCCGCGCCCATGTGGGCACACCCCTCACACGTTTCCTGGCCCAAGAAGGACTAACACCTGCATATGGTTGGGTCCTTCGCCATGCTAAATATTTCTGTCCGGGGCTCGATTTTGAAATTCTTGCGGAACCAATGGTTTCTGGCGGATTCCGTCATGCGCGCACGACGACGCGCGCGTGGTCTTTTCGGTTGGTTCTTCTGGCAAAGAATTCTTGGCAGCTTATGGGTTTTGATCGACGAGTGTGCGCGCATAGTTGTTTCAAAGGATGGGGGTGGGAGGTACGGGCCTTGGCTGTGATGGTGTTTGCAAGACTTCATATTTAGGATGGACGATGGGGCAAAATCGTAGGTACATTGCAACACCCTCAAGGCGGCCGTTAATTCAACGATGGGGAGTAGATCCTAGTTTTCTTTTGGGGAGGAGAATCTGCGCGGTGCAATAGATGTGGTGCGATATGTGTGGTGCAGTCGTTGTTGCCGCGACGGGGCGGCGACGGCGACCACGGAACCGCAAAATCGACCCCCAGGCCCAGACGACGGGCGGTCACGAGGCGGCGACGGCGACGGGGCGGCGACGGCGACGGCGATGACATAGCCGCCAGACCGACCCCCAGGCCCAGACGACGGGCGGAGACGCGGGGGCGACTGGGCGGCGACGGCGATTACATGGCCGCCAGACTGGCCTCCCACACCAAGTTCATTCGACGAGAAGTAGAGGATCCAAGTGCAAACACTTATTGGGGAACTTATTTCTCGTATGTTTCTTCTGTGCATTGCAGTCGGTGTGTCATGGTAAACTCCGACGGCCGTTTGCGCCTTGCTGTTGCTGTGCTGGCTTTCCCTCCGCACCACCCATATCCCTTCCTGATTGCAGAACTGATGGCTGGGGCGGTGGTGCTTGAGCCAGTGTACAAAAACAGTCGGCAACAGCAACATGTGAGTCCAACGTTTCTGACCGCCAGCTCGTAACCCCACGTAGTGGTTCGCGGGGCGGGTGTCCTGCGTGGATAATTAACCATGCACTATGTACGGTACGGGCGTTCGTTAAGAAATGCGCTCAGGAGGCTTCAGACCCTGGAGGTTTCTTACCTAATGCGGGCGGTGGTGATATCCATGGTCTTCCACGATTGAAATTTCCCCCTGGTTCCCAGACCCCAGATTCCTAATCAAAGGGTTCCTAGTTCAATCCCGTCGCCGTAGATTACGAAATTGTTGTCTGGTTTTTTCGGGTAGCTCTAGTTGCGCAAACAGTCAGCAGGAACCACCATCGCACTGACCACCTAGCCGCTCATGCGGATCCTTGTCGGCAGCCCCGCGTCCGGAGGCCGAGGGGGCCGACATCCCGGGCGACATCCCAGTCGGGCTGAAGCAGGTCAAGGAGGCGCAGCGGAAGGCCCCAGATGAGGGGCGTGGGACGAGGCTCGAGGCTCGATCGGACGCGGCTAGGACGAGGGTTAATCCGTTCCAGAGCGTTCCAGAATGTTTTCAGAGCGTCCCAGAAAGATCTGAGAAGGCCCCGGCGCCCGAGACATCCTCCAGATCCGCGGGATGTAAAGATTCTCGATTATCTTCACCCGAATCAAACCTCGTCCTGGCTTCGTCTTACTCGAGGCTCGAGGCTCGACGATCGAGAGTCGAGGGCGCGTTGCCGAGGGGAGTCGACGTCCCGGGCCTGGCTGCTGGCCAAGCCGTCGCAGCAGAGGGCCCCCAGACGCGGGGCGTGGGGCGAGGCCCCCAGACGCGGGGCGTGGAGCTGCCTTCCTCCAGGTCGTCGTCGTCGCCGTTGTCGTCGTCGCCGTCGTGGTCGTCGCCGTCGTCGTCGTCGCCGTCGTGGTCGTCGTCGTCGTTGTCGTGGTCGTCGTCGTCGTCGTCGTCGTCGTCGTCGTCGTCGTCTTCCTCGGCGCGCGGGCGCGCGGGCGCGCGGGCGCGAAGCTTAGCTGCCTCGATACGCCCCTCTGTGAGACGCAACACGTATCGTGCCAATACGGTTCGTGTTGGCCCAACGTATTGGCCCACGTTTTGGCGCACGCGTCGCGTCAGACCTACGTCTTAAGTCTACGTGCTGAGCTCCGTGTCAACACGCTGAGGTTTTCGTGTTGCGTATCGGGGCAGCTGAGGCGCGAAGACAATCGCGGGTCGCACACCGCGGGGCGCGATGCGCGACGTATCGTGTCTGGCCGCCTGTTGGCCACTGGGGGCTCCCGCTGGGCCCAGGGCCGTCAACAAACGACTCGGGAGGAGCAGCCGGTCCTGGGTACGGCTGGTCCGAGGTACAAGATCGAGGTCGGTTCGGGGAGGGTACCTTCATGTTTTCCGTGTTTGTTGGATGTTCTTGTGCATCCTGGTGGAAGGGTGCCCTCGAATGTTCTTCAATTTCTGCCGGCGAGGGCTTCATGTTCTTGAGCGATGTTATTCTGCCCTAGGTCCGACCGTACCGGGTCGAGAGACCTCTGCGGGCTCTCACGTCGTGAAACAAGCATGGCGTCGAGGGGCTGGGCACCGCGGGGCGCGATGCGCGAACTTCTGGGTGGGCTGGGATCGGCGGCGCGCCCCAGGTGGAAGTGAGAAGGGGCAGGCCTTCTCGGAAAGCGGCGGGGCTTCTCGGAAGGCCCGGGGCCTTCTGTCTCTTTCTTCGGAGGGGGCTCAAGACAGCTTCTCAGAAGGCTCGAGGCTTTCCGAGCCTTCTGAGAAGGTGTGCCCCCTCTACGGATCTCTCTTGGCACGCCGCCGGTAGGAGGATCAAGGTTCGACGATCGCGGGTCATTGTCCGATGCTCGAGGACCGTTGTTATCGGGCGTGTTCCGCTCTTTTCGGGTCTCGTGCAGGCTCCCCGCGGCCACGGCTGAATTCCCCTTCGGCACCTGGGCAGACGTACTCCAGGACAGGTCCTGGGCCCCGCAGCCGACATTTTGAGGAGATGGAGTAGCAGGAGGATCACGAGGAGCACGACGAGCAGGAAGATTAGGAGGATGAGGATAATCAGGAGGAGGAGGAGGAGGAGGAGGAGGAGGATGAGGAAGATAGGAGTTGGAGGAGGAGGAGGCGGAGGTTGCGGGGACGAGGAGGAGGAGGGGGGGTAGAAGGAGGAGGGGGAGCAGCAGCAGTGGAGGAGGAGGAGGAGGAGGAGGAGGAAGATAGGAGTTGGAGGAGGAGGAGGAGGAGGAGGAGGAGGTTGCGGGGAGGAGGAGGAGGCTTAGGGCGAGGGGGAGCGTGGGAGCGGGCAGGCGTGGGGAAGCGAGGATTCGTCGCCCAAGGGCTGCAAAGGCAAGCCAAGTGGCGATTGTATTAGGCATGTTCGGGCGAGCGGGTTCATGACGATCACAGTGCAGCCTCCGGTCTGATGCCTTGAAGCCAACCTGGAACCGCCATCACCTGTTCCGCTTGTCGTCTTTGTCCCCCGGGATCGGTCTCCCGCTCTTCATGCTCTAGGGGGACGACCAATGACACAAACATACAAACTCGGAGGTCGTACGGATTTCTCGGATCGGCGTTGGGCCCCCCTCCTTGGCGCGCTCCGCGCGCCAGGAGCGGCGCCAGAGATGCCGCTAGGGACCTCGGCTCCAGTCCGAGGAATCGGCGTGGACCCCCGAGTTGTGATGTTTATGTCATTGTTGATTCCCCTTATCCTCATGCTTTCCGTGTCCCTCCCTTCTCGTCGTCGTCCTCCTCCTATTCCTTCTCCTATTCCTCCTCCTCCTCCTCCTCCTTCTCCTCCTCCCCTGGCTGGTAAGGCGCCGCCAGCGCGCCTCAGCTCGCCCTCTTGGTCCTTTTTTCGGCTCCTCGTCGGGCAGCGCCCCACAGAGATGCCCATGACTCGGGAGGGAAATAGACAGAGACGCACAGGAAAATATGGAGCATATGGGAAGTGGAGGGGGTGGGGTGTCCGGGGATTTGTGTCTATCTATCGAATGTGTAGGAAATACAATCATAGACTGAACAATGTGGAGCATTTTCTGTAGATGGTGGTCTTCAGGACTGCACGCTTACAATATTTGATCTCAATCGTACTTTTTACGGCTCAAGCTTTTTGGTCACTCACCGTCGACACAACAGTTCCTAGCCCGAGCTGGGGCTGAGCCGCGCTTCTGGCGGCCCCCCGTCCTTTCAGACTACCTCTCGAGACGAGGCCCCGCCCGAGAATTTCGTCCCTGGGGTGGGGTCGCATGTCGGAAACGGAGGAAGATTGCTACGGTCGGATTGCGGTGAAATGGGGCTTCCTCGTACACTACCAGTTCTTGATGCGATGGTTTGCGACTCAGTCTGGAGTGCTGCGTCGAGTCTATCGTGGGCCGCCGGCGCTCAAGCTGGTGGCCGATGTTGAAGACGCGCCCAGCCCAGCGACATCCGACCAATCAGGGCGGTGGACCGCACTGACCCGGCGGCTCGTCCGCTTGCCCGATCTTCTGTCTGGCCTCGCTCGGGGTCTTCACTTCCTCTGCCATGCCCTGCGGGCGCCACTCCCGAATTCGATCGAGTCGGCGACGTTGGCGCTACAGGGCGAGCTCGAGAGGTTCGACCCGGGCCTGAACGCGAGGGCGACGCAGAATCTTGTGTTGGCGGCGAGCCTCGCCTCTAAGCTTGCCGCTAAGCGGGACGGCGGGGTTTCCTGGCCCAGTCGGCGCCCTCATGCTAGCGGTTGCTGCTGCCGACCCGGCGATGCTGGCGGCGGATGGGGCGCCTGGCGTCGCCGCGCTCGCCGCGGGTGCGGGGGGGGCTCGTCGGCTACTTCGACTTGCGGCTGCTACCGATCCGGTACGACCTGGCGGGCGAGCGCAGGGTGGCCTTCGAGAGGGCGGTGATCAACTGTCGCGAGGACCCGTTACCGGGCCGGCCAATCAAGGGCCCGCGTTCGTGCCTGTGGGAGTGCGGCTGCATCTTCCTGAATGGTGGCCCACCGACGGGGAGGCACACTAGCCGGAAGCATGATGCCGAGCTGCAGCTGCAGGATGTTGGAGTGGCCGGGCCCGAACGTTGCCGCCGCCCGCGTGAGACCATGGCGTGCTACGACCAGCTGAACCTGCCCGCCAGAGCCACGGCGGAGCACCTGGCGCTCGCCCTGCAGGTTCGAGGCGAGCGCGGGCAGGAGTACCCCAGCGGGCACATGGATGACCCAGTCGGTGACGCACACTAGTACCACGGAGTGGACATCGTGCGCGCTGGGGCGCGCGCCTGCCCCGAGTTCACCGCGCGGGTCGCGAAGGAGCTCTTCCTCGAACGTGCCCTGCCCGAGGAAGCACCCAACGTTGGAGAAGAACGAGAAGCAGCCCGCAGGGGCAGGAAGAAAATATGATACACGACCAAGTGCGCGGCCGGGGGCATCGGAGGGGGTGCACTGGACTGCCTGATGAGTCGCACAGCGCCGACTTGGCCCCTCCCCTCCTTTTTCACCCTCGGCGGCAGCGCCGCAGCAAGCTGACCGTCTGAGTGGCCTGTTCCCGCTGCCTCTGTTGTTTCGCCGGCCCGAGGCTCCGAGCGGCGGGCGTGCGCGCCGCGCAGTTAAGCGGAGGGCGCGCCGCCACGCGTGCATGTTGGACTGGGCTGACTCGTCAATCAGTTGTCTGAATAAGCTGCATTGGTTCCCACGAGCCTCCTGTTCCAGTCTTCCTGGCCTTCCCCCCTCCCTCTCTCAATCCGTCTTAGCGCTTCGCGCATCGGCGCATCCTGGGCCGTTGCAAGCAGGTGGGCGCCCAGCAGGCCGATTTGACGCGCAGGGAAGCCTTCCGCCAGCTTCTTGCCGGGTCAGCGATCTATCCCGATAGCTTGACCCGCAAGCCGTATGCACGCCGCCTCGCGGCATGGCCTGAGGTCGGATCTTGCCCGCCCCCGTGGAGTCATGTCTGCCCCAGGTCGACTGCGAATGGCTAACGTCATGGCGTGATATTTTTCTTCTGCCAGTCGATGTCGCAGGTAAGCAGTGGCGTTCTGTCCGCGCGAACGGTCCCTGCGTTGATCCCGCCCTTCGATCCGCTTCCCGTTATAGAGACGGGTTGATTCAGCGCCAGCAGCGCGCTATTCTCGCGCGGTGTCGCAAGTCCCCCTGGTCGGGGTTTCTAGGAATATTTTTTGTCGCGAGACTCAACGGCCAACTTCATCATCTTTGATGCCAGAGCTTGTAATTGTTAATTTGCTGAGGCGGCTTCGACCCGCCCCCCCGCCCCTGCGGCCTTCCGCGGGCTTCCAGACAGGCCTGGGGGGGGGGGGGCCTTCGGGGCGTCTGGGGATGTAGGCTGTGCGTTTTATCACCTGAGGGCCATCGGATTCCGGATGGATTCGAGGAGCATTCTATCTTCCCGTCCATATCGCGTGTCTGCGCGGGAATCCACGAGATAGATGCTGCCCCGTTTTGCCAAGGTGCTCATGTCTCCCCTTGTATAGTTGTACTTCCCATGGGGTGGAGTTGGAAAATGCATCCGTGCCGGGCTGTAGTGAGGCAGTCGCTCCAGGACGTCGGGATCCAGGACCGCCAGGTGATTGAAGACAGCCAGGTTCCTCCAACGCTCGCGTCACCCACTGCCGTTGCTGCCGCTGCCTACGTCGACAACTGATTCGTTTTATCGCCCAGTGAGGCCGTCGCCAGCCAGGTTAACCTGGTTATGATTGGATCTCGAGGGGGCAGGGCTCATCGTTCACGAGGTTTCCGAGGCGCGAAGGGGCGTTGATTTTGATGGGCTTCAACTGACTGCTTGGCACACGGTGAGCTCGAAATCCAAGAATATCTGGCGCCTGCGCTGGGGGATCGAAGCGCTGCTTCGCCAGGGGAAGGCTTCCGGTAAGATGCTGCAGTGTTTACTTGGACATATTGCGTGGCGCGCCCTTTTGCGACGCGAGAGCCTGTCTCCTTGATGACTGTTGTGTTTTTCACACTGAAGTACACTGGTTCACCTGCGCAGCAAGTCCTGTGGCCTCGGGTGAGACTGGAGCCCTGGCGCGCCAGGCGTTTGCTGCATCTCTCCCGCGTGGACTGGCGGGCTAGGTGGTCGTCGGACTTGCATTCCAGCGATGCATCGCCTTTTGGTCTGGCCGTTTGTCATCGCCGTGTCTCCCGCGATGCTGCCGGCGACGTCGGGCAGCGCAGCGAGCGTCGGAGGTGTCGTGTTGGCGGGGCTGAAGAAGCGCACTCATCCGCCTTCGGCCTTTGCCGTTTCCTTCCCGTTCCGGCGGCTTCGCCAACTCCGTGAATCACGTGCCCGGGGTGAGCGACGTCTTCATATGTGTGGGGTGGGGGGGGGGGCGACGATTTCATGTCAGACATAAAGGTCGAGTCGGCTGTCTCCAGGAAGGCCCCTGCTGCTCCCCTGGAGGCCTCCGAGGGGGATGCCGCCATGGCGTCTCAGGTGGTGGGCCCGGGCAGCGGCGGGGTCAGCGAGCCCGCGCCGGGCGACCTCCGGGCCGCTGCCCTCTCCGCCCGTCCGCTCTCTTCGTCTCCACCCCCAGGGCCGCGGAGTTGTGGCGCCGCCATGGTGCCCGGCGGCGGGGCGCCCGCAGCGCCGTCGCCGCGCGGCTGCCGAGCGGCGTGCCTGGGCGGGCCGCGCGCGGGCCCAGGCCGTTCAGGCCATGCTGCGCGCCTTCGGCAGCATGGAGCACCGCGGCTGCCGCCCCGCGCGGCTGGGGGCCGCCCTCCGGGAGGGGCGCGCTTCCCGTGGCGCAGACTGGCGACCGGAGCGGAGCACATGCAGATGAAACCAGGGGCCTTGCGGTTGAAGCCGCGGCGGAGGTTGGAGATTCAGCGTCAGCATTCACCATGGCATGCGAAGGCGCCTCCAGGAGGGCAGAAGCTGAGGCCGAGGTTGGCGGCATTTCGACAGCTCGTGCAGCGGAACTGTCAGCCGACAAATTCGCCGCCCTTGGGGCCGCGAAGGCAGCAGCGCAAGTGAAGGCGCCCATGCCTGTCAGCAGCGCGGCGAGGGAGTTCGCCCCTATCTGCCCGCCGCTCCAGGAGTCGACGGCCGACGACGCGGGGGTCGCCGCAGCTCTGGGGCCTCGGGGGAGGAGTGAAACCCGTGCGCGGCTGCTTCGGGAGGCTCACCGCCTTCGAGGCGCCGAAGCACAGAGAGGCGCCGCGCCGACTGGCCCGCAGATCACGTGGGCAGCCACAGGCGACAGCGGAGCGCGCCCGAGTGCATCGTCAGCATCGCCGCCCACAGGTGAACGCCCGCAGTCGTGAAGGTTAGCCCCGCGGCCTTCGGGTGCGGCTCGAGATGCTGGTGGTGGCTCTGGGGCCGTCTCGTTTGGGGCTCGCCGGGTGTTTCGAGGGGTCCTGGGCCTTGCTGGGTCTTCTGTCCCTGTGGGTCTTGGGTGCGTTCTCGGGCTGCCTCGTCGCGCCGCGGGGTCGGCTCGTTGAGTGGAGCAGCCGGGTGGCAAGTGTGTGCAGCGGAGGGCTTTTCATTCCCACGTGCTGTTTGTGTTGTGCTTGCTGCGTCGCGTAATTCGATCCAGTGGATGTTGCTTAACAACTGTTCCAGTTTCGATTCCGATTCCCCCTCCCCTCCTCCCACTCTTGCCCCTGCCATACGCATGTCCTTATCACCATCATCAGCATCGCCATCATCATCGCCATCGTCATCATCATCATCCTCATCATCGCCATCGTCATCATCTTAATCCTCGTCACCACCTTCATCACCACCATGATCATCACCAGCATCATCATCATTTTAATCAGCCTCGCTTTCATAATCCTCACCATAATCACCATCACTACCAACATCAGCATCATCAGCATCACGATCATCACCAAGGGAATCACCATCGTCATCACAACCAACGCCATCATCCGCATCATCAGCACCCTCGTCTTCACCCGCACCACCAAAATCATCAATATTCGCATCACCATCACCATCATCATCGGCACCATCATTACCCCCATTAGTATCATCACCAGCAGCAGCATCAGCTTCATCATCTTTGGCATCACCACCACCATCGCCATCACCATCACCATCATCATCACCATCACCGTCACCATTACCACCACCACCAACAACATCATCATCATCAGCATCGTCATCAGCTTCATCATCAACAACAACCGTTATCATCATCATCACCAGGCATCAGGCCCAAGCGGTTGCGCTCGCATGTCGCCACCCCTTTATTTGGAAGAGTCGCTCATACACGTCGCGGTTTTATAGGGAGCTCCACCTACGGCCGAAGTGGTGCACCCGCATGCCGGCACCCTTTCATTTTGGCACACCCTTCACACGCTTCGTGGCCCCAAAGGAGCTCCACCTGAAACCCCAATGGTTGCGCTCGCATGCCGCCCCCTCATTTCGGCACACCCCTCACACGCTTCGTGGCCCCATGGGGAGCTCCACCTATGGCCCTAATGGCTGCGTTCGCATGCCGCCACCTCATTGTGGCAACCCCTCACACGCTTCGTGGTCCCTGAGGCGCCAGTGGCTACACTCGCATGTCGCCCCCCCCCCCCCCCTCATTGTGGCACACCCCGCACACGCTTCGTGGCCCCATACGGAGCTCCACGTAAGGCCCGAATGACTGCGCCCGCATGCCGCCCCTGGCACACCCCATCACACGCTTCGTGGCCCTACATGGAGCTGCACCTAATGCCCCAGTGATTGCGCACGCATTCCGCCACCCGCCCTCATCTTTGCACCCTCGCACACTTCGTAGCCCCAGAGGGAGTTCCACCTAAGGCCCAAGTGGCTGCGCTCGCATGCCGTCGCCCCTTCATTTTGGCACACCCCTCGCACGTTTAATTCGTGGCCCCATAGTGGGCTCCACAGAAGGCCCCATTTGCAGCGTTGGCATGCCGTCACCGCCTCTCACCTTGGCACATCCCTCATACGTGTCGCGGCTCCGTGGGGGGCCCTTCCGAAGATCCCAACGGCGAAGTCCGCATGCCTCCGCCCCACCCAAAGCAGCGCTTCGTGGCCTCATACGGAGCCCACCGAAGGCCCCAGCGGCGACGTTCGCATGCGTCCGCCCCACCTAGTGCAGCGATTCTTCGCCCCGTTGGGAGCTCCACAGAAGGCCACAGTGGCGACATTCACATGCGTCCGCCCCACCCGGTACAGCGTTTCGTGCCCCCGCAGGGAGCTCCATCGACGGCCTCAGTGGCGACGCTCGCATGCGTCCGCCCCACCAGTACAGCGCTTCTTCGCCCCATTGGGAGCTCCACCGAAGGCCACAGTGGCGCAATTCGCGTGCTTCGTGGCCTCTCAGGGAGCTTCATCCACGGCCCCAATGGCGACGTTCGAATGCGTCCGCCCGACTCATGTCGGCGCACCCCTCACACGTTTCGTGGAGTGCGTTGCATTTGGGAGCAGAGGCATTATCGTGTACGCTATTCGGAGTTTGCGTGCTTCCATCCGGCGTCTCATCCCCCTCGCGGTACGCGCAGCTGCATACGGTTGGGTCTTTTGTCAGGCTAATTTTTGGTCCCAGGACATTCCTGCGAATCTGAATCTCGGGTGCGAGTTGTTAAGGCAATCCTGGGAGGCTGCAGAATCGGCGTGCGAAACTTCCCATGCACAGATCGACCTCACTGGACACGGAAGCGCCCCAATTCCCCTGGATAAAGCGGCGGAGGCCGAGCGGCGGCGGATCGAGGATCGAGGATCGGGGAGGATCGAGGATCGAGGATCGAGGAGGCGTAGGAGGAGCAGGAGGAGGATTGAGGATCGAGGATCGAGGAGGAGGAGCAGACGCTGCCCCCCCCCAGAGGCCGAGGCCGAGCGGCGGAGGAGGGTGGCGCTGGCTCTCGAGGCCGCCACGCACCACCTGCTGGCAGCGGAGGACGCGCTGCGGTCCAAGGTGGTACAGGATCGGAGGCCCGAGAGAGGCGACGACGACGACGACGACGACGATGGTGGCTAAGGCGGCGACGACGACGACGACGACGACGACGACGACGACGACGACGAGGACGATCATTGCTAGAACCACGACGGCGGTCCAAGGTCCAGGATCGGAGGCCCGAGGCGGGGTCGACACGTGCTTGCGGCGAACGGGGGGGGGGGAAGCGAGAAGGAGGAGGCCTTCTCGGAGGGCGGTGGGGCTTCCCAACAGGTCTGCTGGCCTGCTGGGAGGTTTTTTGGGGTGCCTTCGTGGGAGGAAGCTTCTCAGAAGGCCAGGGGTCTTCCGAGCCTTCTGAGAAGACCCGCCCCTTCTTTCTTCCCCCCGGGCTCGCCGCCCAACGTGAGCGACGCAGAACAAGCGGGGTCGTCTGCGCCGACATTGGCGCGTAAGCTGCCCACGTAAGGTCTCGCGTGAGCGCCCTCGTCGTCGCCAATGTAGCGTGCCGCGCTGGCGGGACACGTAAGGCACTGCGTAAGCTCGCTATGCTATCTTGCGAAAGACTCGCTTCCGATTTTGCGCGCGCGTGGTGCGCTCCGGAGGTCAGACGAGGAAGAGATTGTCAGAACATTTCGGAGGTTGGCAGGATACCCCAAATACACTTCGGAGGCTGATAAGAACACGTCGGGGGGTGACAGAACACTTCGGAGGAATAGGTATTGATATAACTGACGAGATCAGACGATGCGCGCCGATACCGCTGCCCTTCGCGGAGGTTGATAGAACATCCACCCTGCCGGGTCGATTAGCGAACTGCTCTTCTCCGGCTCTGGAGAGGGCCCTGCGGCCGCAGTTGTTGCGGGCTTGCGCGCGCCTTGTCTAATGCCGGGCCCTTTTCACCAGAGGGCTCTGCTAACGGGGGCTCTGTTTCTGTCCACTCCGGGTGCCGCTGCCCTTCCCCTCGTCGCCACGGCCGGACTCGCCTCGAAGTTCTGGCCAGAGTGCACCCTCAGAGGTGTCCTGGGAGCAGCGGCACCGGTGCCTGTTTGCTCCCCCCCCCGCGCGTGTGAGAGAGAGGGCCGCGGCTCTGGCGCGTCTCGCCATCGGCGGGAGGTCGGCGGAGCGCTGGTGGGAGCTGGCGGCGGGTCTTGGCATCGCTCGGACGTGTAGGTTTTTCCTCGGCCAGGGCCATCGAGGAACATGTTGCTCACCCTGCGAACGAAAAATAGATTCACGAATCCGAGACCAGCTGACCAGCTGCGGGTCTTGGCATCGCTCGGACGTGTACAATTTTTTCTCGGCCCGGACCATCGAGGAGCATGTTGCTCACCTGGCCCCCCCACAAACCTGCTCACGAAGCCGAGAAGTGCGCAGGGAGTGGGCGTCCGAGCGACAGCGGGCGGGGCGGGAGGCAGGGCGGGAGGCAGGGCGGGCGGCACGTCACGGGAGGTGCGATCCGTCGAGGGGCGAAGCGAGGTGCACCTTTCGTGCCCCACAGGGGCCCCCTTCTCGGGCCGAGCGAGAGGGGGGGATGGGGGAAGGGGGGGGTACGAAATCTGCTGCGTGCAGCTGGTTTCGGCCCCGCCGCCGGGCCCACTCCTCGATACATGGGCGCCTCCCGGCGCCGGGAGGCGCCCAGAAAATCAGCTACGTGAGCTGATTCTCACCCCCCCTCGTTGTTATCCCCCCCTTTCGCCCGGCCCGACCTCTGGGGCCCAATCGGGGCACGAGAGGTGCACGTTCCTCGCTGACCCTGGCTTGGGAGCTACTGAGTGGCCTGCCTGGGCTCGTGACGTGGTTTTGGCTGGCATGGGGCAGCGCTGGCCCGGGCCAGCCCACGCTCGCAGACTATTGTTTCTTTGGTCCCCAGCAGGAGTGGGTGCGCAGCGGCACGTTCTTCCACTGGAGCAACCCCTCGCCCATGTTCCTGCTGGTGCTGGAGTGGCGCCGCCGCAGCTGGTGCTGCCGGCACACGGACTGGGTGTTCGGCGGCGAGCCCTCGCTGCAGGAGCGCCTGGAGAGCTGATCGCTGGAGGAGTCATGATCGCGTGCGCGGAATGGTCGCATGCCGCTTATCGGTTTCACCCGCCCATACCAATACTGTGCGTGCGCCGGTCCTCCAGAGGCGACGCGCGCGCAGAGAATTCTTATAATTAGTACAAGCTCCTTGGCGGGTGCTCTCTGGGCAGGCAGTCGCGAAGCGATACATTGCAAGATGGCTATACTAGATGGTCGGGTCGGACGCACGTATCCAAGGAGGACACGTAGTTCTAGCATGTCCTTGCGCGCCCCAGTTTAGCTCCCTCTCTCTGGTTGTAATGTGTCGCGCCAGCGGCGCCGCGAGAGCCATCGCATGCGGTCGCCTCGGCCGCACGAAGAGAGCGGCAGCTGGCCAGAGTGAGCTTTGGCGCACGGCTTCCAGCTGTCGCGGGGGGGGCCAAGAAGATTTTGTTTGTCAGGGTTTGGTTATGGGCCCGCCCGCCTCCCCCACCCGCCTCCCGGATAACTTGACCTTGTCGGTGGCGCAGGTCCGAGGGGCGGGGGGTGCGCAGCACTGGTGCGCGCGGGCATGCGTGAGGCTGCCCAAAGCGAAGAAGGTTAGCTTATCGGCCGTCACCTCCCTCCCACCCACCAGATCACCCGGGCTGTCTCCGAAAAATAAAAGCGATCTCAAGCCCAAGCACGCAGGCCGTTGCTGTCGCGTCGCATGCGACGATCGGCAGGCCGCACAGCAAAGGCCAATCTCGCTTGGGGTTACTCTTGCTCGTAGCCCATCGCCGTGCCCATCGTGCCGAAGGCCCCTGGTCGTGTCGCCGCCCGGGCCTTAGCAGACTCGACTCCGCATTGTAGGCCATCCTGGGCGCCCGCCGCCACTCTGCATGCCGCTGCCTCGCCCGCTGCCTCGCTGCGTCAGGGCTCGGCATGCAGTTCCCCCACTCAATCCAGCGTTCAATGCTGCTGCCGGATGAGCTCGAACTCGGGCCATGTCGGTGACCTTGGATCGCCCGTGTGGGCTTTCGTGCCGGCATCGTGCGCTCAAGAATTGTGTGTGTGTGTGTGTGTGTGTCTGTGTGTCTGTGTGTCTGTGCGTCTGTGCGTGTGCGTGTGCGTGTGCGTGTGCGTGCGCGTGCGCGTGCGCGTGCGCGTGCGCGTGCGCGTGCGCGTGCGCGTGCGCGTGCGCGTGCGCGTGCGCGTGCGTGCGCGTGCGCGCGCGTGCGCGTGCGCGCGCGCGTGTGTGTGTGTGTGTGTGTGTGTGTGTGTCTGTGTGTCTGTGTGTCTGTGTGTCTGTGTGTCTGTGTGTCTGTGTGTGTGCGGTGTGTGTGTGTGTGTGCGTGCGCGCTCGCGTGCGTGTGAGTGCGTTTGTGTTTCCAGCTTCTTGGTGCAGTCCGTGGAAGTGCCCAGTGATAGCACGGTTCAGAGGAGCCGCCCTCTATGCGAGCAGCTGATGCACAGTTACGATTTTCTGGGCGCGCGGACCCGTGCAGTTGCTGCGCAACTTTGTAAATTACGGTCGCAACTGTTCAGGAAATTTTGAAGTGGAAGGTGGCGCTCGACCGTGTGAGTCGTGGACGTCTTGAAGCCGAAGGAGCGTGGCGCCAGGGCGAGAACATGAGCTTAAAGAGAAGCGGCCCTCCGTCCTTGTGCCGGTTTGGGCACTACAAGCGTGAGCGTCACAGAGGAAGGGGAGGCCGTAGGCGAAGTGCTTGGCCCGCCTTGCCTACACGTCTGATGGCGCGGCGGCAATGATTGTCCAAGCAAGAGGAGTGGAGGGAGGAGGAGGAGGAGGAGACGGAGGAGGAGACGAATCAAGGAAGGGACGGGGACGGGGAGAGATGAGGACATGGTGGTGGAGTAGGAGGTGGATAAGCAGAGGAAGGGGGAGGAGAGGAGGAGGGGGGAGGAGGATGAGGAGGAGGATGCAGGGAGGAAGGGAGGGGGGGATGAGGGGGAGGAGGAGGGGAAAGAAATGAGGAGGGGGAGGAGGAGGAGGTGGAGGAGGAGTCGGGGTTGGTGGGTGGGAGGCCTCCTCCGATGCTCTCTTCTCTTGCCGCCGTTCTCTGAAGACGTCGTTCGACATGAGTATTTCAGTCCGCGACGTCTGCGAGCGTCCGACCCCTGATTCGCTGCGATTCGATTCGCTGGCTCGGCTCGATTCGGCAGCACCAGCCAGGGCCAGCCAAAGCTGGGCGCGGCTATCCGATTCTTTGGCGATCCAATGCGTTTCCGATCCGATCCGATTTCGCGATCCGATCCAGCTGAGGCCTGGCAGTTCGGCGCCCAGGATCCAGGATGGATCCAGTGGCCCGGACGCAAAATCATATCGTCAGAGGTCTGGGCCTGGGCATGCGATGTCTTGTATTTTCATCATGCGGTCCCGCGGAGTCCCGATTTTTTTCCCAGGGCAGATTTGCCTTACCCTAAGCCGTTCTCTTGACGGCTTCGGGGCTCAGCCAGGGCCCCCAGAGGCTGAACATCGAGAAACTTAGCGTCTTGTGTTTTCCGTCAGAACGTTGCGTGTCCAGGGGCCCTCTTTTCTTTGCCATGTCGTGGCGGCGATTCGCCGAATCTATATGCTTAGAATTACTGGAGCCATTACATTGTATTCGACAACGTTGTATGTATCAGTTAGATGATATGATAACGTTGTATCTTATATCATGATATGATGCATGGTCTGACCGTGCATCGTATCATGTTGCACGATGTTATATATCATGGCATCCCAAATTAAACTATGTCCCTGTTGCATAACAGATCACAGTATATGGATGTGGCTCTTAGTCTAAAACAGTTTGTTATGCAATGCCATACTAAGTTGGAGCATAGTGTGGTACACACTTGTTTTATACAGTTATATACCTAGATGCCATACGATAACAGCTTACAATAGCATGTACTGTATTATACACGTGTATCAGACGTTATACTAGGCTATACCACTTATTGCTATACCTTAACAGATTGCACATCACATATAATGTTAAAGGATATGGTATGCGATCCCATGATTGCATAGTATGCCATATCCTGCTGCATTGTAATATAGTATATGATATGCTGTGTTAGATTTGCTACATCTTATCGTAATACACGCTATCAAACCGTTCTATGTCTTATAGTAAATGATACATGTTTCAAGCTGTAGCATGTTTTGTTGCATTGTACTTGTTTGACCAGGTTGTAGTATATTGTGTAATTTTAAATTAAAGTGTGTAGTATAGTATTGCAGTGTAATGCGTGGTGTTATAATACAACACAACAATTTTTTATATGTCCGAGTAGACTACAAGTTATGTTACTGCATGTTAGTATATACTAGTATAGTCTATTGCGTTCGCGTGTGTACATGTGTATGTATGTATGTATGTATGTATGTCTGTCTGTCTGTCTGTCTGTATGTATGTATGTATGTATGTATGTATGTATATATATGTATCTATATATACATATATATATATATATATATACATCGGAGTAGGCCGGGGGGGGGTCCAGGCCGCTGCCGTCATCCCCAATGGGCGTCCCCCGGAACCGTTGGGGGTCACAGACCCCCTGGGACTGCCCGGGGCCGCTTCCAAATTGCCCACGACAGGCCACGCGGGCCGTACAGATGGTCAAGGAAGCCTCAAGAGGGCCCCGAAGACGCCCAAGAGCGCCTCAAGAGGGCCCGAGATGGCTTGAAGATGGCCGACGAGGGTCCCACGAAGGCCTTCAAGAGACAAGCATCTGCCATTCCCCACGTAAAACGTACATTTTCAGTATACTCGCTGGCTTCGTCTTCACAGTGCCCCAGACGCCCCCGCGGGGCCCCAACACAGCCCAAGAGAGACCCAAGAGGGCCCCACACGGCCCAAAAGGGTTCTCCTGCGGGGCTCAAGGAACCCCCCGAGACGGCACAAGAAGCGCCAAAGCAGGCCCAGGAGGCCCCCAAGACGCCCTCAGGGAGGCCCATGAGGGCCTCGTTCGAAATCATGTCCCTGGAAGCCTCTCCAGGAACATGATTTCCGGGTTCCGAGGACGCCCAAGAGGCCCACAAGACAGCCTCAGCAAGGCCCAAGAGGGCCCGAGATGGCTTGAAGACGGCCGAAGAGGGTACATTTTCAGCGTACTCGCTTGCTTCGTCTTCACAGTACCCCAGACGCCCCCGAGGAGCCCCAACACAGCCCAAGAAATACCTGAAAGGGCCCAAGACGGCCCAAAAGGGTTCTCCTGTGGGGCTCACGGACCCCCCCGAGACGGCCCAGAAGCGCCAAAGCAGGCCCAGGAGGCCCCCAAGACGCCCTCAGGGAGGCCCATGAGGGCCTCGTTCGAAATCATGTCCCTGGAAGCCTCTCCAGGAACATGATTTCCGGGTTCCGAGGACGCCCAAGAGGCCCACAAGACAGCCTCAGCAAGGCCCAAGAGGGCCCGAGATGGCTTGAAGATGGCCGAAGAGGGTACATTTTCAGCGTACTCGCTTGCTTCGTCTTCACAGTACCCCAGACGCCCCCGAGGAGCCCCAACACAGCCCAAGAAATATTTAAAAGGGCCCAAGACGGCCCGAAAGGGTCGTCCTGTGGAGCTCACGGAACCCCCCGAGACGGTCCAAGAGGCCCCGAAGCCGGCCCAGGAGGCCCCCGAGACGGCCTCCAGGAGGCCCCAGAGAGCCTCGTTCGAAATCATGTTCCTGGAAGCCTCTCTGGGAACATGATTTCCGGGCTCCGAGGACGCCCAAGAGGCCCACAAGACAACCTCAGCGAGGTCCCAGAGGGCCCGAGATGACTTGAAGATGGGCCCAAGAGGGCCTTCAAGAGGCAACAATCCGCCCATTCCCTACGTAAAACGTACATGGTCAGCATGCTCGCTGGCTTCGTCTTCACAGTGCCCCAGACGCCCCCGCGGAGCCCCAAGACAGCCCAAGAGGGCCCAAGACGGCCCAAAAAAGATCGTCCCGTGGGGCTGACGGACCCCCCCGGGACGGCCCAAGAGGCCCCGAAGCCAGCACAGGAGGCCCCCAAGGCGGCCTCAGGGAGGCCCAAGAGGGCCTCGTTCGAAATCATGTTCCCGGAAGTTTCTCCGAGAACATGATTTCCGCGCACCCAGGACGCCCAAGAGGCCCACAAGACAGCCTCAGCGAGGCCCAAGAGGGCCCGAGATGGCTTCAAGATGGCCGAAGAGGGCCCCAAGAGGGCCTTCAAGGCAAAAATCCGCCCGTTCCCGTTGTAAAACGTACGTTTTCAGCATATTCGCTTGCTTCGTCTTCGCAGTGCCCCAGACGCCCCCGAGAAGCCCCGAGACAGCCCAAGAGAGACCAAAGAGGGCCCAAGACGGCCCAAAAGGGTTCTCCTGTGGGGCTGACGGAACCTCCGAAGACGGCCCAAGAGGCCCCGAAGCCGGCCCAGGAGGCCCCAAGACAGCCTCCAGGAGGCCCAACAGGGCCTTGTTCGAAGTCACGTTCCCGGAAGCCTCTCCGGGAATATAATTTCCGGGTTCCCAGAACGCCCAAAGACAGCCCCCAGAGGCCCCAGACACGCCGAAGATGGCCTCAGGACACCCGGGGTCCAGAGCTCCCGAGGCGGCCCGAGCCCGCCCCGAAGCAGGCCACGACAGGTTAAGGGGGTCCCGAGAGGGTCCACGACGGTCCCACGAGGCCCCGAAGACGCCCAAGATGCCCTCAAGACAGCCGACGAGGACTCCAACACGCTCCAGGACGGACTCAAGAGGCTCCCCAAAAGGGCCCTGGAAGGCAAGATTCACTCGCTTTCCGAGTCTTTTGGATTTTGGCGTTATCGCTTTTCCCGCTTTCCAGCGCTCCCTTGACGGCCTCGGAGACCCTTCAGATCGCTCCAAGAAGGCCCATGAGGCCCCGACGAGGGCCCCAAGACGGCCCAGGATGCTCCCCAGACAACCCAAGTGTGCCCCAAGAGCGCGCCAAGAGAAGGCCCAGAGGGGTCCCGAGGCGGCCCGGGCCCGCCCCGAAGCAGGCCACGACAGGCTAATGAAGGTCCCGAGAGGGCCCACGACGGTCCCAAGAGGTTCCGAAGACGCCCAAGCTGCCCTCAAGACGGCCGACGAGGACTCCAACACGCTCCAGGACGGACTCAAAAGGCTCCCCAAGAGGGCCCTGGGAGGCAAGATTCACTAATTTTGCGATTGTGGCACGTCCTGCTGGATCGTGGACGTCGCCTTCTCGCTCCTCCCGCCGGCTGGCGGGCCAGGCGTTTCGTGTCGCGCTCCCCCCAGCGCTGGTGGGTACGCTTCTGGTTCGAATTCATGTTCTGCGTATTCTTCTTCTCCTTCCTCTTGCTTTTGGACCTCGCTGACTACCAGCACAGCTGCGCGACCGACAAGTTTTTCACCATACGGGGAACGCTCTTCCAGCAGCCCCGCGCTACGCCTTCCGGCAATGCCGTTCCACCATCTTCTTCCTGCTGTCGGCGCAGCTGGTGACGCCGACATCGACGGCCGCTCTACCGATGTGCCCTCTTCCTTGAGGTTGCAGCTCATTGTTCGGGCTGCGCTGGGCGCTGGTCCGGACCTGGCGGCGACGCCGCTGCCACCGCCGACGCCGCCGCCGTCGCCCGCGGCGGGACCCAGTCGACAACGCAGCGTCTCATCTGGCCCTTGGGAGCCGTCTCGGTGGTCACGTGGAACTGCCAGGCCCTCTTTGCCGCTGACCCCCTGCGCCACCGCAGGAAAGCACAGCACGTCAACCGACTCATGCGCACGCACGACGTAGGCCTTTGGACGGAAACGCATGGCACACAGGGCAGCTGCGACGTCTGGCGCAATCCGCCCGGCTGCACCTCGTGGTGGTCCCCAGGGCACGTGGCGGGCAGCGCTGGAGTGGGCATCACGGTCAAGAATTCCTTCCTGCGGCAGTTCACCGACTCTCCACGTTGGAAGATTATTCTTCGTGGTCGTGCGGCTGTCTTGCAACTTCGTGGGCCTGGGGGTGCTCTGGACCTGGTGGTGACGTACTTCCACACCGGCGCCGCCATGGCACAGCACGACATCGATGCAGCTGGCCTCCTTCATCTCCATCGCGCGCCTACGGCGGCAGAGCTTCGCGAGGCACTCCGACGCCGACTGGCCCAGCAGATCACCCACCAAGATGCCGCGCTCACTATCCTCGGCGGCGACTTTAACTACGTGGCGGAGGTGGCAGACCGCCGCTGCGCGACGACAGCGGTCGCTACCGGCGGGCGCGACCGAGGCGAGCAGGCTAGCTGGCAACGGCAGCTGGCCCTACCTCATGGCCTTCATGAGCTCCATCAGCCAGACATGTCTTATGCTTCTCCCACCTCTCGCTCCGGGGACGACAGGTTATATTGCAAGCAGGCTGCGACAGAGAGCCTCGACAGGGCGATGACTTGCGTCGCACTCGACTGGTGCCCGAAGCTGTCGCGGCACCGGGCCATCAGCTACCGACGGGAAGTCCCACGGCGCACGCAGGGCGACCACGCCCCGCTCCCCGACCAGGTGATTGAGCACCCAGAGTGGCCAAGACTGGTGGCACTGGCTTGGCAGGATCTCCTAAAAGACGACCCGGGCGGTTCGTCATTGAAGCAGCTCGCCCTCCTGAAGGCCGCGATGCGACGCGCGGCCCGCAGCCTCAATTACACCTTCGGCTCCTCGGCGGACGCGCTCACCCACGAGGACAAGCAGGGCATGACCATGAAGTTCCTCCGATCGTCGGAGCGCGGCTCCGCGACAGGGATCAGCCAGTGCATCCTGCGCTACCCTGTCCCCACGGACCTTGTGGACAACCCCTACGACTTCTCCCTCGGCCATGGCCGCCGGTTGCGACTGGTACGACAGCACTCTGTGGAGTTGGCTCGCTCACGTGCTATCGACGAATTCAGCCAGCTCCACAATGACCTCCACGACCTCACGCCCGACCAGGCAGCACGACGACGTCAACGCAATCATCGCCTACTTACCCGCCTCGCCCCTGGCCGAGGATGCTCCCACTACGCCGTCCGCGACCACGCGGGCCACGTGAGCACAGACCCCTCCCACGTCACCAAAGCCCTCGAGGACCATTGGGCAGGAGTTTTCAGCCGCAAGGACACCGACCGGAGGCTGCGACAGGAGTGGCTCGCGGATGAAGCTGCGCACTTCCGCCCTGCTGACCGGCGACACGTCCCTGGCGGGGTCGCCCCTTTCGAGTGCTTCCAGCAAGCGATTGCTCACACCAAGAAGAGTTCGCCGGGCCCAGATGGCATACCATTCCGGGCCTGGCAGAGGCTGGGAACATTTGCGGCCCGCGCCTTGTACGACGCCTTCCTGTCCATGGTGAGCCCTGGGGGGTTGGACAGCATGGAGATGGATTGGAATGACTTCAGCGAGAGTTCCATGGTTATTCTGCCCAAGAAGCCAACCGCCGCCAACTCGCAGGGCCTAGAGTTCTTCGTGACTTCCAGCACGCGCCCACGATCACCAACGCAGACAACATGATCATCGCCGGCGCCATGCGCTTGTGGATCGAGCCTGCTGTCGCCCCTGGAATTTCCGATTCTCAGTGCGGTTTCTTGCGGGGCCGCTCCATGCTGGCGAACCTCGTTGACATCGACGAGGCCATTCTGCATGTCTCTCTGGAGTACGAAGACGCGGCGGCGATCTTCTTCGACTTCGAGGCCGCGCTCCCGAGCGTGAGCCAGGAGTTCCTCTTAGACGTATTGGTTGCTCGTGGGTGGCCGGATTTGTGCCTTACTCTGGTCAAGGGTCAAGGCGCTGTACCGCAACAGCCAGTGCCAGATTGTCGCCCAGGGCGCCAAGTTGCCCTCTTTCACCCTTGCTCATTGCAGTCATCTCCGACGTCCTGCTACGTCGTCTTCCTCGGTCGGTCCCGCAGTCCATCCAGCGGGCTTACGCTGACGACCTCGCGATGACCCTCGCCCACGGCACCAGGGGCGCCCCCGTCCTCGAGCGCGCCTTCGACGAGTGCGAGCGGCTTGCGGGGCTCCGGCTGCGCCGGGGCAAGACTGTCTGGGCCCCTCTCTCACTGGCTCTGGTGGCGGTGGCCCGGGCGAGCTTACAGGCTGCCGCGCCGACCTGGGGGGAGTTCGCGGTGCGCCGGCGCGCCGCGTACCTCGGCTTCGAGGTGGGGCGAGAGCGAGGGGAACTGTCTTGGGCCAAGCCGCTGGAGAAGTACATCGAACGGGCACGAACGTGGAGAGCAATAGGGGGTGGCATGTTCCTCACCATGCTTGCCTACCGCATTTAGATTTTCCCCGTTCCCTGCTTCCTCATGCAATTGGACGGCCTGCCGTCGAACTGGAACGACCACGAGCAGAAGGCATGCGCGTTGCTATTTCCAGGGCCGCGCAACTGGACATCGCCGGCCGCCCTGTGGGACCTGCGTTCCCTACGGTTTCCAACGCAGCTCCCCGACGCCACCACGGTGGCCCTGGCGGCCAAATACCGAGCTTACCGTTGGGGGGCCAACGCCAGCGGCGGCTTGCGAATCGCGCGCCGGCGTCGCATACTGCACGAGAAGATCGTGGCGTCGGACAAGGTCGTGCAACTGGGCACATGGTCAGGGTGATACGAGGCCAACTTCATCCTGAACCGCCACGCGGCCCAATCCAGCCTCGAGTCCTGCGCTATGGCGGTGGGCCTCTCGGTCGCCCGGCTGGTCCAGGGCTCGTTCACTGAGCCGACACCTCGGTCGCAGTGGCAACGGCGGTGCTGCCAGCTCTTGGCGCGGCCCAGCCAGTGGTGCACCACCCGTGAGCTCTCTCGCCCCCTCTCTCGCCTCCCCTATCCACCTCTTCCCCAGCCGCCGCACGCCGCGGGCGCTGAAGGTGCTTCGCGGTCTTGCACCGTCTGTGTCTCCTAGGGTTTTGGCTTCTCTCTACAGAGAATTGTGCGACAGTTGGACGACAGCTCGCCGCTTTGGGCGGTGGGCCCCATGCCTTTTCGGTTGCGCGCGCGGCGGCGACAGCCTGTTGCATTTCTCGCAGTGCCCGTGCGTTGCGGAGCTGGGCTTCAGGCATTCGCGTTTATCCCGTCCCGCGCCCAGTACGCGGCTGTCGTGTTTTGTAGCTTTGGAACCGGCATTTTGTGAGAGCACGGCTTCGGTCTTAGCGCGCCGAGCCCTGGCAGCATATTGTACATACGCTGCTTCGTGTGCCGCCGGGCATAGCGCCACCGCGGACGCGGCGGGCGCTTGGTGGCAGCATGGTCGAGAGGCCTGCCACTAGCTGCAATTGTCTCGGAATCATGGCGGGCATAGCTTGGTCGCCCTCGCTGTGCTGGTTTGTCAGTCCCCCTCTGTTTCCTTCCGTTCTTGTTTCTCCTTCCCCCCTCCCCCCCCCGCGGGCGGGGGCCAAAACATGGAAGGGGGAAATTCCGTACAAAATAGTGGTTTTGTGCGGAATTTACCCCTCCCCTGTTTTTGGGCTTGCTCCCGGAGGTCTCCGCTTCTGCTTTGCTCGGTCGTAATTCGGAGCGCCGCTCGCTTAATCTTATTAGTTGTATTTGATACCCCGGGTTGTCCTGCCCGCCTCGCTATGATACAAATCCGGGGCATTTCTGTATCATTGTTGTCCGTTGACGCCTGTCTCTCTCCTTGTTTTCTCTCGCTTCGCTTGCGCTGCAGTGGATATCTGGGCGCCCAGACTGCCGAGCAGTCGGGCGATGACCTCTGCGGTGTCTAAGCCTGCCCCACCGCCCAGCGTTCCAATCCCAGGGTGCGCGCGATGGCTCGCCTATTGCAGGTTGGCTTGAACGCTGCTCCTGGCGTTTGGCTGGACTCTCTCGCCCGTTTCCTCCCCTCCTCTTCCTCCTCCTCCTCCTCCCCTTCCTCTCTTCCGCCGTTCTGACAGTTTGCTGGTGCTTCCTGTCGGCACCAATGGGGAGGGCGGACAAATCGTGCCCCCCGGTGCTAAAGGCGATTCATTTGTTGTGCCCAGTGCCAGTCGCTGTTCAGCTTCAGCTTGCTGGCCAGGCTGGCGTGCTCATTGTTCGGGTGCCTGGTCAAGGAAAGCCTCCCAGAGGGCCGCGGATTTCCATCTTTCTTGCCCCTGGACGGGCCTCTTCTCTTTTCGTCTCGCGTTTTGCCCGCTGTTCACAAAAAAACAATTCATTTTGCGATGGTTTTTGAAGGATTTCGGCATTCTCGCTCTCCCCGCTTCCCAGCGCTCCCTCACGGCCTCGCTCAGAGGCCCTTCAGATCGCTCCAAGACGGGCCACGAGGCCCCGAAGAGGGCCCCAAGACGGCCCACGTGGCTCCCCATATAACCCAACTGTGCCCCAAGAGCTCCCCAAGAGAGGGCCCAGAGGGGGACCTCCAACCAATATGTTTAGGTCTCTGGCCCCAGAGGCCGCCTGTAGGCCCCCGGAGGCCACCAAGAGGTTCCCACGAAACCCCGTGGGGCGCCCAAGAGGCCCCCAGGAAGCCCCGAGAGACCCTCAAGGGGCTCCCAGGGAACGCCCAAGAGGCCCCCCAACACATCCCAAGACATCATGTCCCCAGAAAACCTTCCGGGGACATGGTGCATCATGGGCCCGAGAGTCCCCGGAGGCCCCCAGGGGGCCCCCAAGGGGCCCCCAGGGAACGCCCAAGAGACCCCCCAACACACCCCAACAAACCATATCCCCAGAAAGCCTTCCGGGGACATGGTTCATCATGGGCCCGCGATTCCCCGGAGGCTTCGAGGTACCATCATGCTACAGGAAAGCTGTCTGGCAAGTTGATTGGGAACATGACTGATCGCCTTCTCGCGGCCCTCCGCAGATCGTTTCGCACAAAGTTGCCCCAAGTGCCCTCTTGAACCGACGACGACGAAACGACGAAGACGACGACGACGACGACGACGACGACGACGACGACGACGACGACGACGACGACGACGACGACGACGACGACGACGACGACGGCGCGCCCCAATAGGCGACGACGACATTACGACGACGGCGACGACGGCACGCCCCAACAGGCTCCCCAAGACGCCCCCAAACCCATGCTCCCAGAAGACCTTCTGGGAACCCGATTCATACGGCTTCCGCCCCCCTACACAACGATTTTCCTCGAAGTCCTTTCGGAATGCAGATTGGCATGCGTGTACTGTGGTCCACTACTTCAGCGAAGCAGTGAGTTCGTCAAGGCCTGGGGCCTGCTAGAACCTGAGCGCGCGCGAAGCGCGCGCGATGGTTCTAGTGTGTGTGTGTATATATATATATATATATATCTATCTATCCCGGGGGACGAGGTCCCCCGGCCGAGCCCAAGGACCTCGGGGGCGCATGGGGGTGCAGGGCCCCCGGGGCCGCTCGGAAGGGTTCCCGTTCGGCTCCAGAGACCGCCAGGGCGGGCTCCAGCCCAGCCAAGACAGCCCGCGAGCGCTCCAACACGCGCCAGCATGGCTTCCAGACGAGCCCAGCGGCCACCAACACGTCCCAAGCGGCCTCCAAGACGCCTCCCAAGAGAGCCCCAAGAGGCAAAAAACGTTGTTTTTTTTTTCATTGGTTTTTTTCAATGTTGTTTGTTTTCTCGCTTTTCCTGCTTTCCGACGCTCCAAGACGGCCCAAGAGGCCCCCGAGAGAGCCCCAGGACGGCCCAAGAGGCCCCTAAGCCGGCCCCAAGACGGCCCAAGAAACCCCAAAAGGCGTCCCGAGACGGCCCAAGAAGCCCCCAGGACGGCCCAGGAGCCGCCCAAGACAGCTCCAGGAGGGCCCCGCCATGGCCTGAAGACTGCCTAAGCGAGCCCAGCGGACCTCCAACACGCGCCAGCATGGCCTCCAAACGAGGCCAGAAGCCACCAACACGCCCCAAGCGGCCTCCAAGAGGCCTCCCAAGGAGCCCCAAGAGGCCACAAACGTTGATGTTTCATTGTTTTTTTCTATTTGTTTTGCCTTCTCGTTTTTTCTGTTTTCCGACGCTGCCAGACGGCCCAAGAGGCACCCAAGACAGCCCCAGGACGGCCCCAGAGGCCCCTGAGCCGGCCCCAAGACAGCCCAAGAGGCCCCCAAAAGCGTCCCAAGATGGCCCAAGTGAGCCCCAAGACAACCAAGGAGCCGCTCAAGACAGCCCCAGGAGGGCCCCGACATGGCCTGACGACTGCCTAAAAGGCCAGCGAGCCTCCAACACGCGCCAGCATGGCCTCCAGACGAGCCCACAGGCCACCAACACGCCCCAAGCGGCCTCCAAGAGGCCTCCCCAGAGAACCCCAAGAGGCCACAAACGCTGATTTGTGATTGGTTTTTTCGATGTGTTTCGCGTTCTTGCTTTTTTTGCTTTCCGACGCTCCAAGACGGCCCAAGAGGCCCCCAAGAGAGCCCCAGGACGGCCCAAGAGACCCTTAAGCCGGGCCCAAGACGGCCCAAGACGCCCCCAAAGGCGTCCCAAGACGGTCCAAGAGCGCCCCAGGACGGCGCAGGAGTCGCCCAAGACGGCCCCAGGAGGGCCCCGACATGGCCTCAAGATTGCCTAAGCGAGCCCAGCGGACCCCAAGAGGGCCCCACGAGGCCGCAAGAAGCCCCCCGAGGCCACCCAAGCGCCCCCCAAAAGGCTCCCCGGAGGCTCCCAAGAGGCCCAACAACTCCTCCCAATACGCCCCAGAGACTTCCAGTATGCCTCCAAAAACTGACCCCGAGAGGGTCATGCGAGGCCCCAAGACAGCCCAATGATGGCCACGCGAGAGCCACACCATACATTATGATGATGAGGAGGCGTAAGTAATGGTGGCGAGGGATGCTGATGACAAGGATGGAAGGGGAGCGAAGGATGAGGAGGACTGGGGAGTGACTCGAGGTGAGGAAGGACGAGAACGAGGTGTAGGAAGAGAAGGAGCGGCAGATTGAAGAGAGCGGGGAGGACATGGAGGAGGCTGATGATGATGAGGAGGAGGAGGAGGACGAGGAGGAGAGGAGGACGGGGAGCAGTGACGTAACCAGCCCTTAACATTTACGCTCCCAAGAGCGAAGGGTGCCATGAGCCGTCTCGGGCAAGTTCCTTCAGCGCTCTTTCCGTTTCCGTGCACAACCATTGGCCCATCCATGGAGCCATGACGGGGCCCAGGTCAGCGCCGAAGCTGTTCCCGGAGCTTCCAACAAGGTCTCCGATTTGCACTTCCGCGTCCTGCTCCACCGACCCCGTACCCCATATCGGCTGAAGACATGATGCTGCTGCCTCCGCAGTAGCATTCAGTATTCTCCTGCTTGCTTTAACGGCATTGCAGGCTGCCATCCATATCGCGGGTCGAGCCGCCGCTCCCTGCACCT